TCCAGCAGGAAAGGGGCTGATCAGGAGATCTGGGTATCAGTAACCATGAAGAATAAGATGAAACAGTGTCCACTGGAAGACTCCCTAATGTCCCTGGGGAGCTACTGCAGTGATTGTACGATTTGTTTTATTGAATCATTTCGGGAGGAGACTTGTCTCCAGTGTAGTGTCCTAGCTTAATATTCTACGTATGAATGGCAAGCTTTAAATCACAAACTTATCCTCCTTGCAGACTTGACTGTAGGCTTCCCTATGCTATTATTTAGCTGCTCTGGGCCAGGAGGGAAGAAATGGCAGTGCAGAAAGGTTGACTAACCATGGCTGGTAGGTGGAGAGCTGGGATGCCAATCTAAGCAACTTGGCTCCAGGCATGTGCCCTTAACCAGCTGCCACACTGCCTCCCAAGACAAAGTCAGCTCCAAGGCTGGATGGCACCAGCTGCCTATAGCCCTGACACTGCGACTGCTCTTTGTGACAGCCCCGGGGGTCTGGGTTTGGTAGGCTACTGAGCCATCGAAAGACTGATTTTCTTCCTTACAATGACTCTGTGAAATAGACACTACTAGGAGAGATGGTGATGTTAGGTAGCCTGCTCAAGGTGCAAAGCTGAAAGGTGGTGACATAGGGACTTTCCCCACTCATTTCTGACTCCAAGGCCATGTCCTTCCTGCTGTATTGATGGAGGGTAGGCAGTATGATCTCAGACCTTCTCTTGGCACTCAGTCCCTCCTGCAACATCTCTATGCAAAAGGCCACCAGGGTCCTTAAAGGTAACTGACTGTCCTGCTGCAGCTCATCCTGAGGGGATCCTGGTAATCAGCAGAGGACTCGCTTCCCGTTGTGGGTCTAGAAGACGATTCCCATGATTCTATCTGCTCAGACACAGAACAACATGTTTATACGTTTCCTACCAAAACAAGAGACTCATCTATGTCACATAAATTGTTTTTACTGAATGGTACCCCAGGCTGACCATGTACTCTCTAAGTACCCACAGCCGTCTGTTTATGACTCAATCATGAAATTTGCTAGGAGTCAGCAACAAATTCACTGATTTGTACCAAGGGCAAATTTCCCCCTTTTTGAAAATTAAGAAGATAGCAAAGGATTAGTCACAACAAAATGGGCCTGTTTCAATGACCTAAAGGAGCTCAAAAGAAAGAAAGAGACACAGCTAAGCTCTGTCTAATTTGTCATCTTGATGATGTTGTCCTGCTGTATACCTATATGTAACTATTCACAGTTGATGTCCTTTTGCCTGGGCAATAATAATCAAGCCCTCTTATCTGTGGGTCCACATCTGTGCATTCAACCAACTGCAGATTGAAAATATTTGGAAAAAAAATTTTGTATAGACTTTTTTTGGTTATTATTCCCTAAATAATACGTAAAACAACTAATTGACAGCATTTATGTTGCATTAGGTATTATAAATAATCCATAGATGATTTAAAGTATAAAGGAGGGTGTGCATAGGTTATATGCAAATACTACATCATTTTGTATAAGGGACTTAGCCTCTGAGGGTTTTGGTATCTATACATATATATGCACACCATATACACATACCATATGTGGTATGTACACACCATATGTGTATAGTATGTGTACATGTATGCATATTATATATGTATATAGATATATATGTACATCATATAGAATAAGAGTATCATTAACAGTTACAACTTGTGCTAGCCAACTGTCCGTTGCTGTGACAATGTACCTGAGAAAATCAACTTAAAAGGAGGAAAAGATTTGTTTTGGTTCATGGTGTCAGAGGTTTCAGTGTGTGGTTGCTTGACTCCCTTGTTTTGGGGCCTGTGGCAAGGAAGGGAGTGTTCTCATGGCAGCCACGGAGCAAGAGAGGTAGGGGCTGGGGTCCCAATACCCCCTTCAAAGCCACATCCCCAATGAGATCACTGGGAAATGACATCATTTCTTTCCACTGGGTTTTACCACCTCCCAACAGTGCCACTGGCTGGTGATCAAACCTTTAGCATATGGCCCTTGGGTACATTTAAGATCCAAACCATAACACAACTGAAAAAGGGAATTGGGGAGGGGAGGGGGGGAAATGAGAAAGGAGTAGAATGGGAATAGAGGTTTCTAAGGCATTTACTTGATAACAACTTCTTCAATAGAAAACTTTTCAACAGTAATGAAAAATTATCACTTGCCTATGGGATGTAGACAGTTGTCCTCGTTGACAAACATTACTTTTCTTGAATCTTTAAAGATTCAACAGCAGCTACTTGACTATGAGAAAAATATTTTGATCTCAAATCATCAGTATGATTTCCAAATACATTTTGCAGGAAGCATTCAATCTTATTTAGGGTAGCCTCGAATTAAGGTGTTACTTCTATATTTAGTGTATGTGTGTATATATATATATATAACTTTTCTATATATATATACATATATAAGTAGTCAGGTTTGCCACTGAGGAGACAAGTTCTAAAGTATGAGGCAAATTATTCAGCAGAATCCAAACACCTGGCTACCACAAATGATTACTTTAATGTATTTCTAATGAGGACTGGATTCTGACCAAGATGAAGACACTCAACCCATTAAGCAAAATTTCCTCGAGTTTTCTTAAAGGATCACAAATTTTTAATATTAGCATGAAAGAATAAGGCACAATAACTTCCTTTACTCTCTCTCTCTCTCTTTAGTGAACAGAAATGCTAGTTTTATATCAACCCTAGAAACAGCACTTTCAAGACAGTGAGTCTATGCTTTTTAAAACTCCTAAACTTGGAGCTGTCTAAAGGAGGAACAGACCCCATTCAAATACCTTTCTCAGAAAGGTTTAGGACAAGGTAGGTTCTGCTTTGGGAGGCTGCAGTGGTGAACAGCTCTGTCCCCAACTCTACGATAGATGTGAGTGAAGGAAGTCAGGACTGTTACCATGCTTCTTATCCAAGTGAATTTGAAATGCATGTCTTGATGTATACAGCAAATTGGAATTCAGAATCCAAAATGGATCTAACTCTAGAATAAAGCAGTCATTGGATTAATAACTACTCATAGCATAAAACCATAGATTTTCAGAACTGACAGAGATATGGCCCTACACTCTCATTTATATTTATTAACAGTGATTTATTGTGCATTTATTAAGTGCCAGGCCCTGTGTCAGGTGCTTTTCATGCACACTTTCCTATTAGACTCCATGCACCTTTTGTAATAGTAACCCTATTTAGTTGAGGAAATCAAAATGTGCAGCAAATTGCCCAAGGGCCATAGCTGGGAATTGAACCCACAGCCCACACTCATCATGGCTATGGCCTTCAGACCCATGCCATAGATGAAATGGGGCCTGGGAAAGGCTGGTTGTGAATAGGTTCCAGGGGGTTCCATTAGTGTCCTAGGCTGTCTTTGTTTCACACCAAAGAGGCTGCTGCTACAACTGTGGAGGTTGCTTGCCTGGCAGAAATAGAAGGAAAAAGAAAAGGAAGCAGCTGGCCAAATGCTCCTCCCTATCTGCCCATGGAGCTGGGGTATGCAGTTATCTACCAGCTCTGCTGACTAAAAAAGAGAAGTATGTCCACCACTACGACAGAGTAGCGGGCACCATGTAGCGAACCAGCTCATGCTGCATCAGGATCCTCCCTGCACACCTTCTCAGTGCCTTAACTTATCATCAACCACAATCACACCCAATTCTGCCTTCCTTCCTGTTGAACCTGGTGGCTACCCAGGGCATCAGTGACTGAACCCCACTAAGACCACAGCGCCCAATGTGGTCTCTTTGCCTGTGGAAAGCCCATTTCCAGCAGGTCTAGGAAAGGTCCCAGAGCGGCCTGGGAGAGAGGCTTCTTGAAGCAGAAACTACAGCGGGAGCAGAAAACTGGACAGGCTCAGTCTTTAAAGTCAACCCATGTAACATACAGAGGCAAGCCACCAACTCCCACCTGTCCCTCTGGAAGGCACTGGAAAGAGAAAATCCCATAGGGTGCACCTTCCAGCCCTCAATCTGATGTCAAAGACAGGGATCAGGAACCCCGCGTGAGGCCTCTTTCTCTGCTCAACATGCCCCTGCCTAATCTCCCAGTTCAGGACAACAATTCAGGCCCTGTGACCCCAAACTTTAGCTCTCAGATGTAAGGGGCTCAGGGAAACCTCAATTACAGCGTTCAAACCATTCAAATCAGGGGTGGAGGCTCCAGAGGCACAGGGGGACAGTCCTTCCAGATCCCTGTGCCCAGAAACACAAGTCAAGGACGAGGTGCACCAGATCTTCCTCCACCTTCTACACACACACACACACACACACTAGCTGACCCCGCACTCCTGCACACCCGTCCCATCCCACAAACACGGGAACATCCACTGGCTCCCCCAGCGAGCACGCCGGACCCCCAAACTGGACACGGGGCTCCAACCCACACCTGCACACCTGCTCTGTCCTGCAGACCCTCGCTCCGCGTTCGCAGCGTTCCTGTCTCACTACACCTGCCCGAGCGGAGCGCGCACGCAGCGCTCACCCTCCAGCGCGCCCCACGGCCCTCGCTGCCCGCGCAGCCCAGCGCCCGCCGCCGCCCTCCGCGCTCACCGAGGCCCGCGCCCGCCGTCCGCGCCGCCCCCGGCCTGGGGCCCGCCGCCCGCTCCGGCCCGCGGCTCCAGGGCTGCTCGGCCCCTCCGCCGCCGCCGCCGCCGCCGCTTCCCGTCACGTGGGCCGGCCGCCCGGCGCCGCGGAGGGCGGGAGCTCGCGGTGCCCGCGCCCGGCCGCCGCCAGGCGCTCCCGGCCCAGGCCCCGGCCCGCGAGCTGCGGCCCCCGCGGCCCCCGCCCCCAGCCACCACCGCTCCCGCCCGGCGGGGCGACCCGAGCCCGGCGACGCGCAGTCCGCGCCGGCCCTGGCTGCGCGGCCGGAGGAGTCGCTTCTCCTCCCCCACCGGCGTGGGCAGCTCGGCCAACACCCGCCCGGCCCCGGCCGCTCGCCACCGTCAACACCAAAGTGGCGCCGGGCTGGGCGGACGCGCTCGGGATGTACCTGCGCGCGGGCGGACGGCTGGGTGGCGGGTCCCGGGAATCGCTTCACCCGCCGCCGCCGAGAGCAGGCCGGGGAGCCGACTGGCAGGCGGCCGCCCTACTGGGCTGAAGGGCGATGTTGGGCTAAGCCACCGGTCCCCAGGCCCTCCCCTAGCCCTGGCCCGGGACCCAAGGGAATTCTCTGGGAGGAGTATGTTTGAGTGATACTCTTACTTATAGGAATTTAAAGAGGGAGTTCTGGGGCAGTTTTGCTGCTGCTTTTGGTCTATTAATTGCTATTTTGGGGGTTAAGATACAATGAAAAAGCTTAGGTTACCCTGAATCCAGGAACTCCTCTTAGAAATCTAATTTCACGATGAAAGAATTCGAAAGCTCCCTCCAGAATTGTCAGTGCTAACTCTTAGAAAGGCAAATTTCCCCTGTGATTTTTCCCAGACTTTTTAGAACCAGTGGGTGACCCGCGGCTTAGACTTTCTTCCAGTCCCTTGGACTGTGAGACAAAGATGTCATCCACAAAACAAGCGGGAGGCAGATACTATATTCCACTCTGTGGTCTTCTGTTTCAAAGGATGAAAAAAGAATAAAAAACAATAAAAACCCAAATTAAAGAAACAAGAATTAGTCTTCTTCCTGTGACCTATTCTCCACCCCTTTCCCTAGTGTGACTTCATGGGCACACACAAGTCCCATCCACTGACAGTGCTGCAGTTCTGACTCAGTGGAACCATTGTCACTGGCTCAGCTTCCAACTGGAAGAATCTGCAGTTTTGACCAGCATTTGGGTTTCAAGGGTGAATGGTGGTGAAAAAACCCTAAGGTCTAAAGATGCCAACAATGAATGGCCCCTGGGAGCTGGAAGGCACCAGACTGAACCCAGCTGAAGCTCTGCTTTTTACCCAGGCTCGCTCAAATGACTTGTCATCCACTCATCACTGGCTCGGCTTGGCCTAGAATCTACATTTGTCCTTTTGTATTTTCGTGTTTTCTCATGCCACAAGACACCCCTGCACAAGACTAGTTGCAGAGGTGACACCTACAGATTGCCAGACACTGAATTAAGTACTTTAGAGCAATTTATTTCTTATACCTTTTACTATACCCTTATGAGTAGGAACTTCCATTTCCCCACTTTCACAAAGAGAGGTAAATGACTTGTCTCAAACCCCATGCTAGGTAAGGAACAGCAAAAACAAGAACCTAGAATTCAACTGACAGTAATTTTTTTAATGTAAAATTAAGTTTTAATGATTGAATAGATTATGAAGCGAACTTTGTGTCCCAGTTTGGAGATTCAGGAGTGAAAATGTATGCTAACAAGATAATTCAGAAAAAATTATCTCCTCTATGAAAGGATTTACCACAGGATTCTGAAAATGGCAAGCTCTATGTGGGCATGTTATTCTGTCTAGAAACATCTGTTCTTACTGGAACTTGCTGAGAAGTCCATGTCTCAAATGACTGGCAGTTATATGTCTCAAATGACTGGCAGTTATATATAAATGCCTGGACCATAAATGTGCAAATTATCTGCATCAGCTAATTCTAAATTCGTCCTGTTATTTCTGTTGGTTATATTTAAGAACAAATATCAATCATATCATTTTCAAAGGAGTATTAACTTCAGTTTTTAATATTTATGAATGACCCAGGGCCCATACCAAATACATTCAGTATTTTATAGAAGGTGAAAAAGATATGTTCTAATAGAAGATGAAGATTAACTAGATATAGTAGATATAACTAGATGCTATAATACTTGCTGTCTACTTTCAAAATGTAACATTCTCAATAAATGCACTTTGCAGGCCTTACTTTCTCACTGGGCATAAGCTCAGGAAGGCAAAGAATGTGTCTACCAGATTCTCTGCTGTTATCTTTCTGAATATAGCTCTCGACCAAGTTTTTAAAATTATTGATGGTCAATAATGATGAACTAAATTATCTTTAAAAGGACTTTTTTGTTTGTTTTGATACTGGGAATTGAACATAGGGCCTGGCACATGCTAAGCACACCCTCTACACTGAGCTATACAACTAGCCTCAAAGAAGCCTTTAATGCAGATTGTGTTATTCTCATGTAAAGTACTCCAAAAAGCACATGTCAAGTATGGATGGATATCATTTTAGAAGTTACACTTATGATTTTTTTTTTAAAAAAAACAAAGGTTATTACATGCCATGTTTTGTTTTTTAGGGGGTGGAGTGTGTTAGGATAGAAGTCAAGGCCTCATGCATGCTAAGATAGAAGTCAAGGCCTCATGCATGCCAATTAAATGCTCTACCACTTCCCAGACCCTAGCTGTCAGGTTTTAAGAACTTTTACATGTACAGTACTGACTTAATCATACAGACACACGTACTTGAAATCTAGCTTCAGTAAAATAAACTTTTTGAACTGTTACTCAAATCAGCTATTTTCTGAGCAGCTCCTACATGTCCCATACTATGCCAGAGGCTGGAGAGCATACTGAATTGAGGAAGAAAGTCTCTGTCCTTAGGTGGCTGAACTTAGTGAGGCATCTTATAAAGTATAGCTGCTAGCCAACAGTAACATCACCACCTTTGAACTGTTAGAAATGCAAATTCCTGTGCCTATACTCCAAACTTATGAAATCAAAAACTCTGGAGGTAGAGCCCATAATACTATTTACACAAGCCCTCCAGGGGATTCTAATGATTGATTTTGAGAACCACTAAATTAAGAGGACATGTGGGAGAACCACCTCCCTTCCCTCTGCCCACCCGCCAGCCAGATCAAAAAGGAAAAAAAAAAAAAAAAAGTGCACTAGAGGGTTGGTGACCCTGTAGCTCAGTTGGGAAGTGCCTGAGGATTAGGAAAGGTTCATTCATTCTGTTCATGCAGCACTTGCTGTTCTTGCACAGTGTGGCAGGCACTGTGCTGGAGAACCCAGAGATAAAGAGGTGACTTGTGACATGAGTGCCATAATATGAATGCTTGTGTGTCCCCCAAATGCATGTGGAAACCAACTCCCCAATGTGACAGTATTAAGGGGTGAGAGGTAACTGTTGTGAGGGTAGAGCCCTCATGAATGGGATTTATGTCCTATAGAAGAAGTCTAAGAGAGTCTGTTGGTCCCTTCCACCACATGAGGACGCAGTTACAAGAATGTATTTATGAGGAATGGGCCTTCACCAGATACTGAATTTGCCAGCACCTTGGACTTCCCACCTTCAGAAGTCTGAACAATACATTTCTGTTGCTTATAAGCCACCCAATCTATAGTATTTTATCATAGCAGCCTGTACTGGGTTTGTAAGAAAGTGAGGAGCTGAGTAAGCACATCTTTATTGTACCCTGATTGTAAAAGGAATGAGAAATGACAATAATCAAAAAATATGATTATTGTTTTAAATAGCAAAAAACACAAGTCCAAAATGTGAAGAATCCCTTAAATTGTTCCCTTCACTTTAAAGCCCCTTAATTTAAGTTCAGATATATTTCTGAATAATGATATGTGTGACATAATATCTTACATATTACACTAGCAACAGGCATCAGCCCCCTGAGTTCTTGGTATACATTTTGTTCATGACTTATTCATTCTTATAGGGAACAGACACATGAGTGGTGGGAACATGAAGTTAAGAGAATAATTCTATAAAATGGGTCTACTGCTTTCACTTTTAAAAGGCAGTTTACCTGCAGCCTTGCCTGGCTCAAGTGGACAGGACATGTCACATTCCTCAGCAAACTACTTGTTATCTACAGGAGAAATGTAAGCCAAAATAATGTTGATAAGGGGAACACAAGTTACCCAGAAGAGGGAGACCTTTATGACTCTTTCATAGACCAAATCTGATAAGGATAACATAAGGATGATGCACCCTAGAATAATAAAATCTGTAAGAAGAGGTTCCAGTTAGAACCACTCAAGTTGGGCCAAAATGACCTAGAGTTATCATGGCAGCAGGGACTTGAATGTCTGATGTCATCCTGCTGTCAGTCGAAAGTCAAGAGGTGGAGCTGATCTGAATTCTCTGGAAACTTCCCTAGGACTCCTAATAAACTGTAGGACAGGGGATACACTGTCCCCTCCTTTCTGAGAGGACCCACTGTCACCTTTGAGTGTGTCCCCTTTCCCCTTTCCCATCCCTTCTAATAAACTCAGGCCTATAACTGAGCAAATTGTCTGAAATCTTTGACTTGATTATAAGAATCAGCCGGTGTTTGAAGGGGAGCCTTCATGCTGCCTCAGCTTCCTGGAAGGCCTCAGCACTGTAACAACTCCACAGTTATTTACTGAGTACTTACTAAGTACAAGCAGGATGATGGTAGTGAGCCAGGTGAAGGATTCAGAGGAAATGCAGGGAACTTGCCCTAGAGGAACTCACCAGCTAGTGAGGCAATGATTCCAGGGAGCTAAGGGTTGGTTCCCCTTAGTTTTGTTCTTGTCATCTATAGCTATCCAATAAAAATGTTAATAAAACCTGACCATCTTTGACTGAAGTGAAAATCCTCACAATGTTTAGCTTCAAGTGTAGAATGACTTCTGGTTACTATCTAAAACTGGCAGGTAATATGAATAAACTTCAGTCTACAAACTCAGATGTGTAAGAAACTTCTTTTTCCTATAACAGAACCTTCCTTCTCTTCGAAACCTATTTTCTGCTGCAGAGATATCAATCTTCTCAATATGAGACCCTCCCCTTTACCTTGAGGCTGTGCCTAGGTTGGGAATGATCTTAAGGATCCAGAAGAGAAGTGAGAGTCATTAGGTCTTCAAATCACTGGTCCCATAGGAATCTGAGTTGTTCTGCCCACCATGATTTCCATCTTTTGGTTTCAGGCTTGAGGGTTAGGATGTCTGTGGCTTTCTTGCTATGTGGTATGGCTACAATCTCTGTGAGGCAGCCTTTTAAACTGGACATATTTGAGGATTCATCCCTGAACTTTTTAGAAATGCAAATTCTAGGGCCTCCCCACTAATCTCCTGAAACAGAAAACTCTGTCTAAAACATAGCCATCAGACTACAAAATTCTCCAAGATTCCACTCTCAGAGATTCTGCCCAGGAAAGAGTGAGCAGGCATTACAAACAATCTTTCTTTCCTCTGGAGGTAGGAAACTCATAGTTCCTGCTCTCTTAATATTATTATCATTATTTGCCTCAATTAATGATTTCCTCTGTACCGAGATTTTTGCTTCAGAGTCATCTAGAATAATACTAGTGGGTTTGTTCTACGCAAGGAAGTACTTTTAAACTGGGAAGTACTGGGATGGGAAAAAAAAAAAAGATAAGATTTGAACTACCACAAAACATTTTTGCAGATGAAGAAGTTGAGGTGTTAGGTTATGAGATTAGTCCAGAAAACCACAGGGAAAAAGAGTACAGCAAAAACTTATAACCACATTTCCAGACTGTTTGTTTCCCTCTTGTACCATCATCCTGTCCTTCTCTCCCTTCGTGAAAATGTCTAGGTAGAGGCAAAGGAGAGGCATTTGACATACTTCAGCTCCAATTGTTACAACACTGTGAGGTGGTATTACAATTTCATCTCAGAGATAAGGAAGCTACAACTAAGAGAGATGAAGTATTTGTCTTAATGAGAGTATGCAAATCTGGAAAGCTGCCCTTTCTCCCCTTCTCTAGACTGCTTCCTATGACCAAAAACTTTCAAAAAACCACTTACTGGTTCTTAATCATTTGTTCTATAAACGAGTGTCATACAATTTCTACTCCTTTGACCATTCTTCACAGAAGCAGCACAGCATTTTTCTATTGAAGAGATCAAGGCTGAGACAAACTCACCTAAGGTCTCTATGCAGCAGAACAAAATTTGAACTGAGATCTGCTTTCAAGTCCAGGTTGTCTCCAAGGCTTTTCACTTTTTCCAGTGAAGGAAATGGAAATGGGAATAAAAATACCACTCATGCCAATTTCATTATTGTTGTTTCCAGGGCACTTAACCACTGAGTCACAACTCCAGACCTATTTATTTATTTATTTCTTAATTTTGAGACACTAAGTTGTTTAGGGCCTCGATAAATTGCTGAGGCTAGCTTTGAACTTGTGATTCTCCTCCCTCAGCCTTTTGAGCCCCTGGGATTACAGATGTCAGCCACCACATCCAGCTCACTATTGTTATAAAACGATCAAACCATATTTTGGATATGGAATGTCTTGATGTCAATACCATGAAGCTAACACACTTAAGGACATTCTGCACAGTTTTAAGATTCTGGTCAATTTGGTGCAAGTCACTGAAAATCTTTTTTTTTTTTTTCCAGATTAGTTTCCTCTGCACTAAAATGGAAGAACTAGGCTTTTTTTAAAGACTGAGTAATTTTTAAATTTAATCTCAGCTCCGAAAATTCAGTTTTTATACATGAAGTATGCAGACATAAATGACTCAGAAAACCTGTGAATCATCTTTCAGTTTTATTTTGTTGTTTTGCTTTACTGGCCCATTTAGTTTTCAATACTCTTTACAGGTTTATCTTTTTGGCATCCTCAGAGTTGTTCACATTGTTGTGCAAGAAAAATTTCCAATATAATGATACATCAAAGAAGATGCAAGTAAGCACTCAGAACATGTTTGCAAATGTGAAGTCATAAATGTGCATATACTGGGAGAGTTTTTAGTCAATTAATTAGACCATATTTGACATATATAATCCGTTTAAACTAAAAACTGTTACTTCATTATAGTTAAGTGTAGAGGAAATTTACTTTAATCTTAGTCTTGCTGCATGCTCATTCTGTGATCTTGAGCAAATTATCCTTTAAGAAAAAAAAATAAATATGTTTTAGTTGTGTGTGGACACAACTTCATTTTTTTTTTTTTTAATGTGGTGCTAGAGGATCGAACCCAGTACCTCACACGTGCTAGGCAAGCGCTCTACCACTGAGCCACAACCCCAGCCCGCAAATTATCTTTTCTGTGCCTCAGTTTCCTCGACTGAAATTAAAAAAAAAAAAAAAGGCCACTTAGAAATACATGCCTCACTAGACTGTAGAGAGGATTTGGATAATCCATGTAAAATGCAACAGCAGGCACATAGTAAACAAACGTTTGGTTGCCACTACCGGCGCTTCTCTGCGGGTTGTCATTCTCAGCGCTGGTTAATTCCGATTACCAAACACTTGAGGGCTTATTAAATCCGAGGCGCTGGGGTTACAGGGAATCAATGAAATAGTATCCGGCATTATTGGACTAACATTGTTTAGAGGACGATTTAAGAGACAAATGACAAGAAGTTGAATTAAAAAAAAAAAAAAAAGGAAAAAACAAAACTTCGGACTTGTCGTATTTGGGGCACGGTATATTTGCCTGATTCCTTGAGAATCCCTTTAGCCTCTGCCACCGGACGTCACGGGAGGCGCAACCAATCGTGTCCGGCTCGGTGAACTTCGCTTTCCCCCCAGCTTCCTGCAAGACTCGACGTGCCATTTGTTTCTCTGTCTGGCATCCCTTTCTTTGCCGGGTTTCCCGGGAGCTTCTCCTGGGAGGCAACAGGCCCCACACCCTACCTATCAGCGTAGGTAGTGGCGGGCTCCCGACGCAGTCAGAGTGACGACGAGCGCAAGTCTCCGCCCCTATACGTCACTTCCGGGACGCTTCTTTCGCGGAGCCTTGTGGGTAGCCGGCCAGGGGTCTCCTGGCGACGACGATGGCGGGGGATGTGGGCGGTCGCAGCTGCACGGACTCGGAGCTGCTGCTGCACCCGGAGCTATTATCCCAGGAGTTCCTCCTCCTTACCTTGGAGCAGGTCGGCCGCGCGGGGCGGAGGACGGGCGGGTGGGTGGGCCTGCCCGGGAGAGGCTCGCGGCTGAGCTTGCCCCAAGCAGCCTCGGTGACGGCGGGCCTTCCCGCAGCGGTCGCTCCTCCGGTGGGGTTTGGGCCACTCTCAGCCCACACAGACCAGACAGGTCTTCCCTCGCCCCCATCCGGAAAAAAGACGACTCTAGAGTATCAGGAATTCCTAAGAAATAGAACTTATCTGTAAGGAGCCACAAAGGCTCGGAGGGAGGAGCCGCCGGTACCCCGCGGCCTGTGTGAAAGCGAAGAGAAACGGAGGGTGAAATCTCGGAACTGGAAAGCATGCGAGAAATCGTCCACATCTTTGCACACCGTCTCATCTCGTTTCAGAAGGCTGAAATAGTCCCCAAGAGATGAAGTGGTTTATTTAAGGTCACACTCTCTAAGCAGTACAGTTGGCAGGAGAATTCAAGACTCCCGGGTCTCCCTGCAGTACTCGACTCGTTTTGGGCTGGTGTGGCTTCTGATAGGCGGAAAGAAAAAAATTTAAAAAGTGACTCGATTTATTTAAAATGAGGATTACTGAAAGTTTCCTTAGAGATTTATGTGGTTTTTTTGTTGTTTTCCACATGGATTTTCCTTAGTCTCCTAATTTTGTCTAGTTGCCTCAAGTTCTCCTGGTAAATACATTTTGGGGTGAAATGACCTTTTACCTGTGGTTTTCAAACTTCTAAGTACATCAGAATCATCCAAAGGTTTAATACACACATTGCTGAGCTCCATTCGGTTTCACTTTCATTAAGTTTGAGATGTGGCCTGAAATTTTGCATTCTTTCTTCCTTCCGGTCCAAGGACTACACTTTGAGAATCATTGTCCATAGGCAGTGTTTCCCAAAGCCTATAAAGCCTCTGGACATGTTGTCCAAGAGAATCACCAGACTTTCCCCCACTTCTAAGCGAATGCAGAGTTAAAATTGCAGTAGGTCACTATACAAGGGAAAGAAGTAAAATTGTGCTTTTAATTTTTTTAAAAAATTAAGTTCATTATACCATATTGACTTGTTTTGTCAGGTTTTACAAAACAGAAGTTTTCCAGCCTTTCTGAATTGAAGTTGAAGAACTAATTATCTTATTTTCATTCTCATTTTTCGTCTTAAATCGAAATTGTCTTCATAACTATTCCTTTGCTTATGCTGTATGTTTTCCTTGATGTCAAGGACAAATTGAAAAGTGAGGGAGAATGAGGTTATTTAGATAGGGATGGTTGAGCATTGACTGTAAGCTACTTGATATACTGCTACTGTCATCAGTGAGGGGAATGTAGTTTCCTTCTGCACTGCTATATTAAGTCTTCGTAGTTAACCTCAATTAAAGAAGTACTACAGTGACTGAGTAACATGTGCTAGGCCCTGAGTTCAATCTTCAGAACAACAACAAAAACACTACAACAGAGAAATGTGAAAATAACAGGGTGAGGGGCCTCCATCTCACCCATCTGAAAATCATAATAATAACATTCAGGTTAGTTTATTGACAGAAATGTGGAAATCATTAGCTTTCTTTTATCTGTTTCCCCCAGGAAGTCCCTCATTTTCAGTCCCTTTTATAGATTAAGATGATGTTCTGGAAATGATCTTGATGCCTGGAGTTTTGGCTGGAGTTGTGGGCTGCAGTCCATGTCACACTGTGGACATGTGACCATTGTTTCTCAGATAAGGCTGAACCTAATATTTCCAGGGCTTAACCTATCAATAGTATCACCTCTAGAAGAAACTTATGGGACTTTGCAGTTAGTATGTCATTCTGAAAATGGTTTTGTAATTTGTTATTTAAGAAATAATGTTTTGCCATATTAGTAAGTTACTTATTAAAATGAAAGATGTTTTGAAATTACTTTTGTTTCCTTTTCCACAGAAGAACATAACTGTTGAAAATGACATAAGAGTAAACAAAGACAATCTTACTGATCTTTATGTTCAGCATGCCATACCGTTGCCTCAGAGGGAATTGCCAAAGAATAGATGGGGGAAAATGATGGAAAAGAAAAGAGAACAACATGAGATAAAAAATGAGACAAAAAGGTACTTTTTTAGTGGTTCTGGTTTTCGTTTTATCTTATATACCTAAACAATTTTGGTTTTACCTCAGGTAAACTTGAAGTTTTTTTAAAAAAATCTATTTGAATAAATAAATAAATATTGAATAACAACAATTCATTGAACACCAGGCACTGTGCTTTGTAGCAGTGAGTAAAACATAAAATTCCCTACCCACATATCAATTGGGAGAAACATAATAATAAAAGTTTAGTGTGTGGTATGTTACATAGTGACACATCCTAAGGGGAAAGGTAAAACAGGAAGAGGAATTGTAATTTTTGGCAAAGTGGCCAGGAACAACCTTACTGAGAAATGACATTTCAGTAGGAAGTATGGAGCATGCTAGCATTCCAGCAGAAGATAAGACCCTGCATTGGAAATGTGTCCAGGAGCAGCAAAGTGTCCATCAGCCTGGAGCAGAGAGAGTAGGAGGCAAGAGGTGTATTAGGGACGACGGGGAAGATTGTCAAATCATGGAAGACTTTGACTTTACTCAGAGATGAGAAACCACTATAGGATTTTGAGCCAGTGACAGGGATAACCCTATCAGATGACATTTTAACCAGACCACTCTGGCTGCTATACTGTGAAGTGATTTAAGATGAAGCAGTTATAGGGGTAGAAGTTGCCAAATCAATTAGGAATCTGCGCTGTAATTTTAACAATGGCAGTAGCTTTAACTAAGGTAGTGATTGGGTAGGCTAGGATCTGAATGTATTTAGGAGGTAGAACCAACAGGATTTCTAAAATTTTGAGCAAAAAGACCAGTCAAGTAATATCCTAAGGTCTTTGAACAGTGTAGAAGCAAAGAGTGCCATCTCATTTCTGGTACATTGTTTAAGATTTTTAAATTTCAGGGAAAAAAAATTATGAAATCCACAAGCCAATGACTTTCCCCCTTTTAAAGAAAATTACATTTGAGTGACCAACATCAGTGGCTACTTAATGTGAACAAAGTGTTCTAAGATCCCCAAATGATCTTCCCCTGTGATTGTGTTATCACCAGTGGGTATTATTGTTATATTATTGTCATGGGTGATGCAGTGGGAGATGACAGAGTAGGAGGGCTGGGGTAAGAAGGAATATGTAGCTCTGAGTTGATTAGTGGTTTTAATCTGATTGCCAAGAAAAACTCATGATTGAGATTATTCCCCAAGCATGAGAATACTCGAAGGACACATATGCTCATAGTCATTTTGAAAAATAACTGCATGTAAGGACTTGGGATGTAGCTCAGTGGTAGACCACTCGCCTATCAATGTGCAAGGCCTTGAGTTCAATCTCCTCTACCTAATTGTAAACAAATACATAAATAAATGTACATACAGTCTCAACTTTGATCAGGAACTAGTTCAGATTAAGCATCATGTTAGCTTGATGGTTACATTAAGTACAAGTTGCACTAGTGTTAGCTTCTGCCAGGCTATGGGTTACATGGCATATACCTTTTAATTTGCTTTTTTCTTTTTTTACTTGATATTCAGACAGTATTTTCTGCTTCATCAGCTCTTACAGGCACATTGTCCTAGTAAACATTGGTTATACTTCCCTTCAAAGCAACACATGATAATCCTGCAGTGTCATTTTGGAAATGATCTTTGGCTCTGTCTTAAAAATTTATAGTCATTCTTGACTCAGCAAGCATTGAAATTGGAAAGCTCTAAGAGAGATCTTGCAATGTCAAGCAGCATACACGTGGCCCTTGACAGAGATACAGAGAAGTACTATGGCATCCTAAGGTCACGCACAGCTAGAACTAGCTCCCTGGTGCCAAGCTTCTCCAACTTCAGTGTGCCCCTTGAATCTTAGGTTGAATGCCCCAATGCTGATGAATCCTGCTCTCCCTCTCTTTCTTTTCTATAATGGCATTGAGCAAACACTGAACTTATTTTTTCATCATCTACAAAATGAAACTAAATGGTGACCTAAGGATTGGTGAGTGGCCGTTTACCTAGGAAGCTCATTAAAATACTGATTTTAAGACTTATTCAGTAGTTCAGTGTGAGTCCCTGGATTCTGTGTTTCTTATAAGCTCCCAAGATGGCACTCATGTTGTGGATCCTTGGATAGCACTTTGGGGAAGTTAAAGAGTTTTGCTGGTAACTCACTGCTCAATTTCTTTTAACATATTTAAGGTTTTTTTTTTTTTTTAAAATAAATCTGCTATATAACTCAAGTTAAATAAGTGCATTTACCTTTACTATTAAAATGTAAATTAGAGGGCTGGGGTTGTGGCTCAGCGGTAGAGCACTTGCCTAGCATGTGTGAGGCCCTGGGTTTGATTCTCAGCACCACATAAAATAAAATAAAGGTTCACTGACAACTAAAAAAATGTTTAATAAAATAAAATATAAATTAGATTTTGAAAAGCAAAACATGAAGACTCTTGCCAAAGCTTATGATTAAAATTGTACAAATATTACTATGGCCCTACAGGCTTAGTAACAGGAATAAGAATGTTTTTCATTGTTTGTGGGGTGCCATTGTGGTAGTCTTCATATAGTTTTTGAAATAATAGCATTGCAGTTATGTGGTCAATATAACTTTGTCAGTAATTTGTTTGGAAATCCTGTTTTAAGGGCTAGTGTTAGATGTTTAATTGTTGTTTTAAAAATAACTGCATCTTTTGTATATGTTAAATCTAACTGAATTTCTTGAAATACTTAATGCTTTAAAACAGAGCACTATAAAATTATTTTTTAGAGTGAACACATAATTTCATTTCCAGTAGTCCCACATACATTTGTCTTATCAGTAGTCTTGTTGGTTATTTATTTATTTATTTTTAACTTTGAATTCCAGTGAACTGGTTTACCATCCCACATAGTATTTTTCAAAAGCGCTTCTCTTTGATTTCAGGAGTAACACTGTAGATGGGTTAAGGAAAAGGCCTCTCATTGTATTTGATGGAAGCTCAACAAGTACAAGCATAAAAGTAAGAAAGACAGAGAATGGAGACAATGATCGACTCAAGCCTCCCCCTCAGGCAAGCTTTACCAGTAATGCCTTTCGAAAATTATCAAATTCCTCTTCAAGTGTTTCACCCCTAATTTTGTCTTCCAATTTGCCTACGAACGATAAATCGGAACACAATAATAATGACACTAAACAGAACCATGACTTAATGCATAGAAAAAGTCCTTCAGGCACTATGAAGTCACCACCTTTGTCCCCTGTTGGAACTACTCCTGTCAAGTTAAAGCGAGCTGCTCCTAAAGAAGAAACAGAGGCTGCAGTAAGTATGGGGTGGTTTCTGTGCCAGTAAGGGGTGTGACCAAAGCGTGAGCAGTTCCTTTATAGCCTGACTAACCCACTGATGCTGCTTGATCCTCTTGAACCCTTTATCTCCTGTCGAATTTTCCTATCTCGTCACTTATATGTTGGAACCCTGGAGTTTTAAAATCCATTGTTATTTTTTAAAGTTATTATTATATGCCTTATTTTTAAATCTAGTATTTTTAAAGATTCCTTCAATTTATTTGTTTAAAAGGTATATATGGAGAGCATTAGGCACTTTTTCTAGATTTTTCTCATCAGTTTTTCACTGTCTTGAAACTAAAAGGAGAGAGTACTCCTTTATTAGTAAAGCTCAGAATGCTAAGTAATTTATCCAGGGTAATATATTTGTTAAATAGCATTTGGACCCTGACCTCAGGTCTGTTTGTACTTACCTTGAAATCACACAAGAATCTCTTTATAATTCCTAATGGTTTTCCCTACCCTTCAAGTGTATCTAACTTTGGACAGTTAGGAAGTTTGGGAGAATCTGTCATGTGTGCTCTCATTGTCTTTCCTTAGACTCCTCAGAAAAGTGATTTTATCTTTAAACACTTAGCAGTTTTATAGCTATTATTCCTGTAGTATATTTTGGCTTTATTATCATCTTCTAATGTCAGAGGGATTGAAACTCAAGAATAGTTTAGACATTCTGAAATATAGACCCTGGAAAAAGAAAGTTACTTAACCAGCATTTACTTATTCATTGAATCTTATCAGCAATCCCATGAAGTAAGCACTGTTGTTATCCCCTTTTCACAGTCAAGGATACAGAAGTTTAGAGAATTTAAATAAACTTGTCCAGGGTTCCAGAGTTAGAAAGTGGGCAAACTGCAATTTGACCCTAGGTCTGCTTGATCCCAAGGCCCACGCTTAGGACACCAAGCTGCTTCCTTCCTTATTTACCCACATTTGTGGGAGAGGAGGAGGGTGTGGGATGAGAATTGGAAGAGTAAATCCTGCAGTAAGGAGTGAGCCTTGAGGATTTTTCTCCCCAGGCTCTTATCCAAAGGAATTTTCCTCTTTCAGAGGTATGAGATAGCTATAAATGATAAATGTTTTCTTGTATTGTTCATGTTTCCCACTGCTTTTGAACTCTGAAGTTGCGGAGGACATTGGCTAGGTAAGGAGGAAGTGGATCTGGACTAGCTGTCAGTGGTTCTCGGCTCTGCATTATTGGGATCACCTAAGGAGCTACCAAAAAAACGAAAGAAGTGAGAGCGTCATCTCTACCTTTATGGATTCATTGGTTTTGAGATAAGGATCATGCTTAGGCATATTTTTAAGTGCTCTTGGTTATTCTGATGTGCAAACATTGGAAAACCATAGAGAGACCAGTCTTGGAGACCTATTTTTTCCTAATGTCTTGAGCTACATTCCCACCAGATGGCAGCAGTGACCTTCCATTAGTACCTTAATAACCCTTGGTGCTTTAGTGTTTCTTTAGCTGTTCTCGACATTTCTGTAGGTATCAATTGGTTTCTGTTCGTGTCTTTTTAGAATAACCTGAAGCCCCCAGAAACGAAGAGGAAGATACAACATGTTACATGGCCGTGAAGGGAAGTTTCCAAAAATGTAAATATAACTGTAATTGTAGTTTTTCAAACAAGTTCACATGTATTGACACTATTTACAAAAATCCTGATTATTGTGGAATTTTCCTAAGAAGTTCAAAACAGGTTAAAAAAAATAGTCATTCTTTCTCACCTTCTGTCCCTTCCTTCCTTTTTAAAATTTGTCTTTCATATCCTGATTATGAAAGAATTTCTTTTTTAAAATAATGGCTTAATATGTGTCATTTATGTTGACCCTGGTCAGATCATTAGCTGCAAATCTGGCACAAAGCATCTAATGAATTTTAAAAATTGTTCTCATTAGTCTCTTTAAGAGTCTTTGGGGACATTTGAGGATTTTTTTTTTTAATTCATATATTGATTTACCATTTTTATTAATTTCTTTTCCCAAGCTGAAGCATATAACAGTTCATTGCAGTATTTTAGTAAATATTGCCACACTTGTCCTCAAGGATTCACTAAGAAAAGAATCTTGGTGGTACTGTTGGAAACTATTTCATATATACAAATAAAATAGCTGTTCTTCAGTTGTTACATTGCTTCTTCCCATAAAAAACAAAAGGGAAGTCAGTGCTTGCTATTGCTTCTTCCCTGGAAGCATAATAGAATTGATTGATTATAAGCTGACTGGTCGGTCCATCCCTTAGAATGTTCTTGTCATGCAACAGTCCTGCCTACTCTTTTCATAATCAGTCAATGATCTCACTCTGTGAATTCAGCCATTACTTCCTCCTGGGAGCTTAAAATCTTTTTAAAATTAAGTTCATTTAAAAATCTGTAGGCTGAATAATCGTGTTAGAGGTGGTACTTGATGGGAAAATGTTTAGAGAATAGGGAGGGGCATAAAATTCTAGAACTTAGGAGAGTCCAGAAAGTATGGCAGTAAGCGGGGGAAAAAAATCAGTGTGCTCTGGAGTAGGCAGTGTAGGGGCTATTGACGGCAGAATTCACTGTAGAGTGCAGCACAGGAAAAATGGGCTCCTAGCTGGATGGGCTGCATGTAGTATAATATGGCTGTCCCATGCAGAATCATCTACAAGTTTCTTTTGTTGTTTTTTGTTTTTAATTTTTGTTTGAGTAGTATCACTCCAATTGTGTAATGGAAGTCAGTGAGAAAATAGGTTTATGTCATGTTCATGGATTCAAGTGTCTACTTTTTTGCTATATATTTCTAACCAAGAGCAAAGGTTACTTTGCACTTTTTTTCCTTGTATGATTGATCTTCAAATTTGGGTTTACCTTTTTCAATATGCTTTTAGAGGAGCCTCATTTCTCTTGATTTGTTAAACCAAGCATTTTAGTTCAGCTATTAAATAGCCTTACAAAAAACTAATTCAGCCTTGCAGGTAAGTACTGTACTAAGACTTTAATTCTATAGTTTTAACCATTCTGCCTTTACTCCAGACTGCAAATCTGTACGTGTAAGACAAAATTGATATGTACTAAGTGTTGCATAAATTGTTGATGTTACAGTAAATTTTTAAATATATTTTTATCTGCAGGGCTGATATATACATATACATATATATATATATATATATATATATATATATATATATATATATATATATATTATTGGGAACTGTGATCCTATGCGTAAATATATATTAAGGGAGATTTAAAGTACAGATTTTAGGGTAGAATGACAAATTATATTTTCTATTCAGTTGTCCCCTCTGCCTCCACCTGTATTGCTCTCTTAGTTAAGAGAGTTAGCCATTTGACGATTTTAAGTCAGTGGGAACTTTTTTTTAGTTACTCAGTGAAATTAATTTTTAATTTGTATATTTAACTTACAGAGTAGGTTGGTAATAACAGCTGAACTGTGTAACATTGTTGCTTCAAATTGAAGTTTATATTATGAACATTCAGGATCAGTGCTCATATAGCAGCATATTATTGAGCTATTTTGAGTTTGAAAGGTGAAGTGCTAAACCATGCCCTGTGTATTACATACTCCCACCATCTTAGAGCGCTGTGCCATCTGAAGGTATATGGATAGAGCTTGTCTCAAAATGACTTTCTCCACATAACGAAGCTTGCCGAATGCTGGGAATCAGGAGCCAGCAGCACTGGGAGTCTAATTTTGAAGTGATGTTTTGGTTTGCTTAACAGTTTAGGAGGACTTGATTTGAATGGTGTACAACTTTAGAATAATTTTTACTTGCTACGGTGGGTTGATAGTGTTGCTTTTGATTCTGTATTCCAACAAAGCCACATTTTGTTGTTGGGTTAGGCAAATTAATGGCATTGGAGTCAATGGGTGCCTTGTGAGGTATGGTAAGAGGCACCACTTCTGCCATCAGCAGGTGGGCCTTGCTGTTTTTTTCCCCTCTCTCATTTTGTTCCCTGTTTTCCTCTTCTCTTCTGTCCCAAATGGTTTCTTTCTTCCATTCATGTCCTTTCTGAGATCCTAAGCTTTAGGCTTATTTTGCAAGTCATATCGCTTAGCCCTACTTGTTCACTAAGGGGCAAAGATAGGCTAACCACAGTCCTTTTGCACTTAAGGGATCATAGACTGCATGTGAATTCTGCAGTCTCGAGACCCTGCAGCTCCAGGGCACTAACTTGCTTCCTAGTGGCTGTAAAGGCACTACAGTTTTCCAAACTAGCCTTATTAATCTAGACAGCTACCAGGCGCCTTGGAAAGTTGGTTTGCTACTACTACTATGAGGCTATATTTGCTAGTGTTAAAATTCTTCAGAATTGAAATTTTTATTTGAAATAATATTTTGATTGACTTAAGTTTTGAGAGACCATTCTAAAACTGATCTAGAGACTCATTCAATAGCAATGACTTTTAAAAAACTTACATTAAGTAAAACTGCCAGTAGAGTAAATCATATATGTATGTAAGAGCTTCCTCTATTTACTACTGTGGAACTTCAGTAATTTTTAGAGGCTACCAAATGGTCAAAATGTTTTTAAGTGTGCTCTTTTATTAAATGCTTGTGCAAATTTTGTAATTCAGTACAGAAAAGTTTCACCTTGTTATGTACATTTTTGTATGTAAAAAGTCTTTTAAGTAGCCTTATTATTTAAATAAACTGAGTAAAACTATCTTGAATAGATCTGTCATTCATAAAAAATAAAATGAAAAAATAGTGACTCATCTTCATTTGAGTAAACTAAATGGAAAGTGTTGTTTTTTTTTTTATTGTATAACCTTCTCTAAGTGGAAGCTTAGAGTAGTCAGGTTTTGGAGGATATCAGGGTGCTGTAGAGACTGATGTGTTGATTGCCTCTATGCCCTGAAAGAGAAAGACAGAAGTCCCCAAACCTTCCCATGTAATAAGTTTTCCTATCAAAATGGGGCAAACCAGAGATTCAAGTAAGAGATTGTGTTGTGGTGACCTAAAAAATGAAAACCACTGACTTTTAAACTGGTATCAGTGTTGTTACATATGAAGACTAAAGCTCTAAAGAAACTTGGAAAAATCTCAGGTAATTTTCTGTTTCGGGTCTTAAAAAGTAGATCTTTCATTCTTTTGTATGGACTGAAGAAACAAAATCCATTTAGATTATTAAGTGCAGTTTACTAACTGAAGTGCTATACTCTTACAATTTTTAATAACTTGATTATCTTGTAGTAGAATAAAAAATAAAAATGTGAATTGCCTATGTATTTTAAATGCCTACTGTTCAAGATATTAGCAGTGAACAAGGCAGATTAAGTTTCTGCTCTCATGGAGAAAGCAAATAAGTGAACAGTGAAATAATGGATAATTGTAATGATGGAAAGAAAATAATAAAACAGGGTCATGAAATGGTGAGGGTTAAGGAAGGTAGGGTGAGGAGCTGCTGTAAATATTGTGGTTAGAAAAGGTTTCTTGGAGGAGAAGACACATTAAGGGGAGAATGGCTGAGGGACAGCTATGGAAACTTTCAGGAAAAGCATCCTTCACGTGGTCAGTTTTAGATGGTTGCATATCCTGCTTTGTTCCATTCCTCCTTTCAAAGGTGGAGTCTATTTCCTACCACTTGTGTATGGACAGGCCATAACTTTCTTTGGTCAAATGAGTACTCATACTTTCACATTTGGACCCCTGCTGCAACTAGGTGAAAAAGCCCAGGCTTGCCCAACTGGAAATATGTGGCCCAGGCAACAGCCAGCACTAACCACCAGACATGTGACCACTAGTCACCAGTCTCCAGTCTAGCTGCAAGTTGACTGGCTGCATCACTGTCCAGGTGAGATCAGTCTCTGATGATTCCCGGAATCAGGGGTAAGTAAAACGAAGATTAAGCCAGTTAAGTGTTGAGGGTAATTTGCTGCCCGGTGAGTAGGTGACAGATACCAGACCAGACAAGATGTGGAAGCCCTGAATAGATTTTTCGAAACAGAAAGACTGGTGTGGCCCAAGTCAGTGAAAACAGGGAAGGATGGTATTAACTGAAGTTGGAGAAGTCAGGTGGAAGCCACATTATGTAGACACTTACATGACCATCCATGGTGATCCATGGTGAGTACTTTGAATTTAAGTCTAAGAGCAATTGGCAGCTGTTAACTGCTCAGATTTAACTAAACTATTCAGTTTCATTTTTAAAAAGTAAGTCTAATGAGCCTAATAAGCAAATAAAAATCTTTTTTCCTCTTGTGAAGTTTTTTTTGTCTTTGTGGTAGTTTGAACTAAAATATTGATATTTGTTTGACTCATAGTTAAACCTTTAAGAAACTGTAAAATACTCTACTAGTCATAGAAGACAATATTTTTTAAAAATATAAAAACACTACACCTATAACTTCTATTATGTCCATACTGCCTTGCTTTATAATTCTTTAACTTTTTTAGTAATAAACTTCTTAGGAGTTTTTCTATATCTCAAACTCAGTTTTTATATTAACATAGTATGGATTATTTGTCAAAAGGAATTAAAATCAACTGAACTCTATACTTTGTTCAAATTTCCTTAGTTTTTACCTAGTATCCAATTTCTGTTCAGGATCCTCCCCATAATACCACTTAGTCATCAAGTACCCTTAGACTCCTCTTGGCTGTGACAATTCCTCAGACTTTTGTTGCTTTTGTTGACCTTGACAGTTTTGAGGAATACTGGTCAGGTAGTTTCTCATGTCCCTCAACTGGGATTTGTCTAATGTTCTTCTAATGATTAAATTGGGGCTATGGGTAAGACACGGAGGTGAAGTGCTGTTTTCATCACATTATTTTGAGGCTACATACCAGAAACATGATGTTTTAAAGTTTAAGTAGTGTTCATCAGGTTTCTCCACTAAGACTTTCCTGTTCTCCTTTTTCTTATTGTGCTCTTTGAGAGGACATCACTTAAGGAGTAGGGAGTTAAGCTGTACTTTGTTCAAGTATCAAGTATATTTGATTATGTATGGACTCATGGAAACTAACTTTATACATTTGTTTATTTAATGCTTTTTTCCCCCCTCAAATTATTCAAGCATTGGCCATTAAAAGCTCTTTCAAGTTAGCTCCTGCTCCCTTTGCCTCAATGTTTTCTTTTGAGCACATCCTTACTTTTTGGCACTGTAGAGTGTAGTAGGTTCATTTTGTTTACTTTTGGCCCAAGTCTTAGGATCAGCCACTTCTCTAAGGAGACTTGGTTCATCTTTGGTTAAAAACCAAGTTCTGGGCACTAGATGTTCTCATTGCTATTGGGGTACCATTGCTTCTAGGCTTTCTCAACTGACAGCAACAGTTGGCCCTGTTACTTTGGGGCTTGTGGCAGAGCAGCACATGTTGGCAAGAGTATGTGGTGAAACTGCTTACCTCATGGAGGAAGCAAAGAGACTAGTGTTCCACAGTCCCCTTTGAAGGCATGCCTCCAATGACCTAGAATCTCCTATTAGGCATCTCTTTAAGGTTCCACCATCTCTTAGTAGCACCTTGCTGGGGGTCAAAACCTTTAACACATGGGCTTTGGGGAACAGTCCAGATCCAAACTCTAGCCCTGTCTGGCTGTAGTAAGTCAAATATAAGTTCATATTGATGTCTAGGTCTCCCACTCCAACAGTGAGGAAGATGACTCTCACCAACCACCATCCATTGACTTAACTGTTCAATTCCAGTATACATTTTAGCAGCTAAAGAGTTGCTAGCCTAAAATAGTTGAGAAAATTTTATCAGTTAGATCATAATTATATATAATTCCTTTTGCTTCCAGTCTCAGATATATCTCTCATTTCCAGGGTTAAAAAGTTATATTGTTTAAAAGAGAGTTTTGCAGTTTTAACATTTTAATTAAAAAGACAAATCTAAATTAACTTTTCTCCAGTTTCTTAAAATTCCTGGACAAACATCCATTCAACAATAATGCCTTCTCTGTTCAGGCTCTAGATAAAGTGTTTCAGTAAATAAGACAGGGTCCCTGTTCTCAAGGACCATGTTTTTATCAGTTCCAATTGATTTCAGTCCAAACAATCGTTTGAGAAGAAATCTAAAGAACATTTAATAATTAAAATCTCAGCAGTCTCTGCAATATGAAATAGTGTTTTAGTTATATTTTTAAATATATTTTATATGTGTTCTTTAATTCCTTAAAGCCTGGAGAAACCAACCAAAAACAAAACTAATGGATTTTTCTTTTAGAAGATTCCTGAAACCTGGGAGATAATTTTATTCATATGTGTCTAGTTGTTTAAATGCTTTTATAGACTATGGCCTATAGATGTCAGGAATGAAGTCACTTTGGTTTTTTTTTTTTTTTTTGTAAATTCCATTATTATCTAGTATTTTTTTAAACTAAAAGTTTGGTTTCATAGTTTATGCACATTTGGGAATGTATATTATCTGGACATTTCCTTCTCAGTGTTTAAGAAGACTGCATGTGTATTCGGAGATAGAATTTGCATCATAATGATCTTTGTAGAAAATAATTCATATTTTAGAGCACAATGACTAGGAATCAAACCTGGTTTCTAACATGTTGGCGTCTCTGCAGTTGAGTAAGCTTTATTCTTTTGGGGCTTCATTTCCTCCTTTGTCAAGCAGTTGGGTTTCACTCTGTTTCTTATTTCTTTCTTATAGGATTTACCTTATGCTTATCCCTAAGACCCTTAAGTTTGTCATTTAATAGCCAAGCAAACAATGAAAAGTGTCCTCAGGTCTGAATGAGCGTCACTAGAGATAATGGAGGATTACACATTTTGCATATTTTAAATTTGTAAAGCAATGTGATTAATTGATATATCAGTTAATACCATTTTTAAATATTTTTTTTAGTTGTAATTGGACACAATATCTTTATTTTATTTATTGATTGATTTTTATGTGGTGCTCAGGATTGAACCCATCGCCTTGCACGTGCTAGATGAGCACTCCACTGCTGAGCCACAACCCCAACCCAGTTAATGCCATTTTTATTCTGCTTTGGTATAGTTAATTTTAAAAAAAAAAATTTTTTTTTTTTTCCCAAGGGAGTTAGGGAATTTTTCTGGGCCTGACTATTCCTCAAGGGCAGCCCTGTGCTGACATTTTGAATTGGGTCTAGCTATGGCAAGTCAATGATGTGTTTAGCATATAGCCTGGGCTCCGTCTGTGTGATGACAGGGATTTTGGTGCTATCTCTAAGATTATGCTCTACTAATAACATTGAGTTCTTTTGCAGAGGTGAAGCTTTCACTATGGGACAGTGTTGAGAGATTAGTAACTAGTGTAGTTCCAGGGCCCATGACACCACAACAGACACATGTACTGAGCTGCTTTCCATGGTCACAGTCCATGTGGAGTGATGGTTAAAGTGTTTCTTCAGCTTTTCAGTGACTGGATTTTCACAGTTTTGGTTGAAGTTAGACTAGCTCTTAAGAACTTTACAGTATCTAACTTTAAGTATATAACTTATTGTATAATATCGTTTAGATTTAAATTATAGTTTAAGAAGCTGAGATTGAGAAAAATCAATGTAAATCTTAAAATTGTATAATGTGTAACAGGAAGTAACTAGTACAATGTTTATAGTTAAGTTTTTCATATGTTAAACAGAGTAAAAGCCTTGCTCTGACTTCTTAAATGTAAGGAACAATTATACTAGAAAAAAAATATGTATATATTTAAATCTTAAAAGCACCAAAGATCTTATAGGCAAAACCTAAGAGAAAGCCAGAACACAGAGTAGGCCATTTTCTTTTGATTCTTTGTCCAAACTATAAGGGAGAGAGAAATGAAAGTTCAGCCCTCCAAGACAGAACCTGCTAGGTATGACTTCAAAGGACAGTACCACATAGGATGAGTGAATTAGAACAAAACCTATGAGGGAGGGATGAAAAGAAAGTGGAAGAAGAAAAAACAGGAAAGTAGCAAGAGAATAAAAAAGGAAAGCAGAAAGATGAGGTGGGATGAAAGCAGGCTATCATAGAATCTGAGCCAAAAATTTCCATCACTAAGAATGGTAAAAGTGTCTCAGGAAGTGTCTTGGGAGTAGTTCCAGTCCCCTCATCAGTCTAAGATGCTAGCACAGGCAATAAAAAATCACCACTGCAGGAAGACATCCTCATTCTAAGTCTCAGTAGACACCCATGGAGAATCTTAAGAAGGCAGAGATTAGCTGGCTATGATGGCATACACCTGTAATCAGCTACACAGGAGGCCGAGGCAGGAGGATTGCAAGTTTGAGGCCAGCCTGGGCAACTTAGCAAGACTGTCTCAAAATAAAATTTAACAGGGGTGGTGATGTAGTTTAGTGGTGGAGCACTTATATAAGGCCCTGGGTTCCATTCTTAGTCCCATGGGATGGGGGAGGTGAGGTGAGGGGGAAGGCGATGATTAACACAATTCAAAATTAAGCATGCAAGGAGGCAATGTACCCAGTGTGACCTGCTGCAGAAACATGCAGTAGAGACATACTCATGAAGTTTTCATATATGGGAGAGTAATCAAGAGAAGATCAAGGAAGATCAAACATGTTTGCTCGCTGTGTATAGAAAAAAAAAGGTAAGCTTTAAAATGACTGCCCATTACAGGAAACTATAAAAAAGCACAACATACATATTTTGATATATTTTTATTGGGGTATAAGTTAAAAAATTATACAGCTTGGTGAAAATATATATCTTTGATGTATTCACACACCCCCAGTACATAAATGAAAAGGCATGGCTGTATGGCAATACAATTTTTTTTTTTTTAAAGAAAACAGGTAGTGGGCAGGATTTAGTTCATAGAGACCTCTGAAAGGGTCCAAAGGATTGTGCATAAACTGTGCTGCACCTAAGAAGCAACCAGAGTGGGATGCAGAGTGGACTTGAAAGCACCTTTGATTCTCACATGGATCCATCAGCAAAGGCAGAAGTCTTACTGACTCAAAGTGCTTAATAAGTAGAACCTCTCACCAAACACTGGCCAAACATATTAACATATGTATTAAAAGAACTAATCTTTTAGTTCTATGTTTAAAGAATTGGAGGTGTGATAATTACCAAACAAAATAACAAAGTACAAAAAAGAATCAAATAGGATTCTGGAATTGAAAAGTACACCAGTTGAAATGAAAAATGCACTAGTTGTGCTCAAGAGTAGATATGAATTGGTAGAAGGAAAAAAAATATGTGAAGTTAGACAACAGATGATGAAATCTAACAGAGAAGAAAGAACAAAGACTAGTGAACAGAGCCTCAGAGAAATGTGATACAACATTAAACATACCAACATAGGCATAATGGAACTGCCAGGAGAGAAAAATGGACAAGAAAAAATATTTTTAAGAATTTCATGGCTGAAAACATTCTCAAATTTGATGAAAAATATTAAACAAACTCAAAGGAGCATTAAGTGCAGAGACACTGGGTCACAATTACTTCTAAAATGCTGAAATAAAGAGCAAATTCTGATAGGCTGTGAAGCAATACAGTTCTTAAAGTTTTTTTTTTTTTAATAGAACATACGCCAAAAAAAGTGCACAAAACGGGCAAAACTCAACTATGGTGACAGAAGTGAGACTAGTAGTTACCTTTTTGGAAGGAACACAAAGGAACCTTCTGAAATGTTAGAAATGTTCTGTTATAGGTTGGCAACCCATAATTAAAGTTTAGGATGGTCTTTCATTTTGCCACATTTCCCACAGCTATCAAAGAGTTATTAACCCCCACTTAATTGGGCCAGCAAATCTGTATTGCTTTTGACAATCCCCTTAGGCAGATTTCTCAGAGCTTGGTACCAAATATCAGTCTCCTCAGGCAGAGCTGCTGAGCTAAGCTGGGTGTGGTGGTGCACACCTATAATCCTAGGCTCAGGAGGCTGAGACCAAGGATTGCAAGTTTGAAACCAGCCTCAGCAGAGCCTACCTCTTTACCACACCCCAATTCCACCCCATTCCCTTCCACCCTGGGCTTTGCAGTAATGTCCCTTCTCAGTGAGAGGATTGATAGCTTTGGTCTTTCAGATTGCCCCTTCCAATATGGAACCTCTATTATGAGCAGAGTGGACCAGGGCGTTTCAAACCCCAGGATTCTCAGCCTGTCTCTCCTGGGGCAGAGGGAGCCATTACCTTCTTGGCTGCACTCACACAGAGCTGGTCACATGAGTCTGGGGAGTGGGAATGGGTTAGGGCCAGGTGTGGCCCCAATGCTATGGACTGTCACTGCTTGCTAAGAGTAGAAGATTTCCCTGAATTCATGTTTCTCTATCAGTTGTATGCCTTTAGGGAAATTTTCAGAGAAGTGATGGGTTTTTATGTCTATCATTTCACAGCAGGAAGAGGGTCACCTGAGCTCTGCACATCACCATTCCTAAAGTCCCACCCAATAAGTATGTTCGCTTGTCAGGGCTGTTTGGAGTCTGGCCTATAGCCAGAAATTTGTAGGAGGTTCAGAGAACTTGGGGCTCTTTCTTTTCCAGGACTTTTCTTTCATACTCCAGGAGCTCTTTATCCCAAACTCTGGCCTCTGATTCCTCAAGCCTGTGAGGCTAAAGACTTGCTAACAGAGTTTTAGCTGTTTCACTGGGACCTGCTATAGCCATAAAAACAGGACCATTCTTTTATTCTAAGATTCCGCCTCCCTTCAATGTCTGCCTGCTTTGGATCAAACTCCAGTGTTCCAAAATATTTTAAAATATTTTTGTTCAAAATGATTATTTGATGATTAGTCCGGTTGAAAGTTTTTACTCAAAATGGAACTCCCTTAATTTTGGATCAGGTAAGATGGTGAGGAGTGGATAAGATGCTCTGTAATGAAATCTGGAGTGCTTTTACTTTTATATTATGAGGTAGAAAATGACATTACAATTGATGAGGGATGGAGTTATCTATGTTTGGGGGGGGAGGGCGGGGGAGATTGAACCCAGGAATACTCTACCACTAAGCTGATAGGGCCTGGCTAAGTTGCTAAGGCTGGCCTCAAATTTGCAATTCTCTAGTCTCAGTCTCCCAATTTGTTGGGATTCTGTAATCCCAGCATGGTGTACCACCATGCCCAACTTAGAGTTATTCTTTTAAAGCAAAAACCTCAAGTCAACTGTAAATCCAGAAGACCCATTTCACAGCCTAGCAAGTATTTCTAACAATACTGCCACCCCCTGGATTCTTCTGTGGCACAGCTTATCATTTTATCACATTGCATTATCTTAGAAAACGAAAGGATGAAAGGTCACTAATGCTACCATTCCAAAGCTAAATGTGCAATGCTGTATGCCATAAAGTGACTCAATGCTTCCCAAATGTGTACTGTGCTATCAAAGTTTATTTTATACACTACTGACGAACAATGAGCTCGGAGGGTTATTTTTACAACACTGGCTCTGTCTTTGTCTCTGTCTTCTGTATCTTTTCAGAAATGCTAAAGGTTCCCAGAATGCCCAGGACATTGAGAATGTGAAGATGAATAAGATGTTGTCTCCGGCCTCAAGTTGCTTGTGTCCTTTTGTGTTCCTGCACTTTGTGAAGGAGAAGGCAGGTTTAGGACAATGAAACAAAGCAGAGCTCTCCCAGTAGAAGTCATCCTAAAGTTGACTTGACTTAGCCTCCTATTCCATTCATCCAGAGCATATGTTACTGCATCAAAGGGCAAGCATTATATTCCAAGAAAGAGAGTGCTTGGGACTGTAGGGGAGAAAAACAGCAAGGGAAAATATGGTGCCGATTGAAGGCTTCTTCTAAATAGATGGTATGATGTCATTTTAGATAGCAATGGCCCAGCCCATTAGAAGCTGAGCTCCATACAGTGATCACTGGACCATGGGATAAAGTGTAACTTAGACCCAGAAACTCAGCATTTAATCATTTCACACACTGTGTCTGGCAAAAGATTTTATTCTGATTAACTTTATTGTAAGTCACATAATCTTGCTTTTAGGCTTTAGATGACAGGAAGTTACAGAGTTGCAAATACAAACTCTTCTTTACCTTATTTATAGTTTGGAAAACTTTCAAGTTTGTGACATATATCAATTGCACTTAAAAATTAAATAGCAGTGAAAGAAAGATGCATTTATAAAGATAGCGTTCAAAAGGAATTTTATGCTTGGATTTGTCTCACTTGATTACAAAAATTCCAAACCATCTTCCCACCTACAGTTTACAGAAGGGTTTTCTCCTTCCCTCCATTGAACTAGCATAAGGATTAAAGGATTTAAACAAACATGAAGATCACTGAAAGTGAAAGAGGAAAATCTTGAGGTGGCTGTGGGAACCAGAACTATTGCTTGGTGGAGAAAGAAAATATATAAATTTGTGTGAAATCACAAGCTGTAGCCTCCAGGGGTCCTTCAGATGTCTTTCCCACAGTCAGGGCACAGGATGTCGTCCCTCTCGGTGAGGAAGCCTCGCCCCACCAGGGACAGGGAGCACTTCTTACAGTTGAAGCAGTCGTTATGCCACTGCCGTTCCTCAAAGGAGATGTACTTCGTGCCTCCCAGGCCTGTGAACAGAGGAGACAACACACAGGGTGAAGGAGGGAAGGGAGTGTGAGCTAGTGAGAACCGGCACCCGACACTGGAAAAGGATTCCAGGCTGATGCATTTCAACATGGGCATCATGTGACAGTGATTTTCTAGCCCAGTGACACTGTGAACTGGGAATTCATATCTAATCAGCTACTACACACAGCCCCACAGAGCTCACAAGTATCAGAAGAAACAGGCACAGCAACTGGTTCCGAAAGGTGTGAGCAACATTGTGAAAAAAGTGCCTATCTTCTTTGTTTACTTATTACATGTTTTCCCAGGAATCAGAACTGTGAGAGCAGAGTTTCTCTCCTGCCTTCACTGGGTGCCTCAAGTCTGGTGCTCACTTTATGTTTAATAGATGAGGTTTGGAGAGGAGAGGGTTGATTCTTCCTGGAATGGCCAAGAAAGGCCTCCCAGAGAAGAGATGGGAGTGAGGGGATGGTTGTTCTCAAAGAGAAAAGATGCTGAGATGAGCCCTGAAAGCACAGGCTAGCAGAACAGGCAGAGGAAGAGGGGGCTTAGTGAGGTGAAGTGTCGTGGTGGGAGAGGGGCCAACACAGCTGGAGCAGATTATGAAAAGTGTCAGGGAGCGGACAGTCATTCTATTTTTTATTATATTTTTTGTGATGCTGGGGATTGAACCCAGGACCTCATGCATGTTAGGCGAGTGCTCTATCACTGAGCTACATCCCCATGTATGCGTGTGTGTGTGTGTGTGTGTGTGTGTGTATGTATGTGTATGCATGCATGTTTATATATACATACTATATAATATATATAAAATGTGTGTGTGAGTGTGTGTTACTGAGAATATATATATAGTACATATATATGGTACTGAGAATTTAACACAGGGGCACTTTATCTCTGAGCTATATCCCCAGTCCTTTTTATTTTTTATTTTGAGAAAGAGTCAGGCTAAATTGTTGAGGCTGGCCTCAAACTTGCAATTCTCCTGCCTCAGCCTCCCCATTTGCTGGAATTACAGGAGTGCATCACTGTGCCGGGCCACAGCCCCAACATTTTAACCAAGAAAAGTAGTAACTTGTTTTCAGTTTGACTGCTTGACTTGTGTTTGATGACTAATCCCCATCAAATATTTAAGGTACAATGGTCCCTGATTATGGTATCAGGGGCAGGAGGTTTGTACACTGTTGCCTACCCTGAAATAAAACAGAACTTATGTCACAGTTACAATCTGTTGAAATGTAGATAGGGAATTCCAATTAGAGTTCTTTCCAGAAATAATGGTATGATCCCCCATATTAAAAACAAAGCAACCGCTCTGATGACTCGTTTCTAATGGTCTGAGTCCTCAGATGTGCATGAAGAGTCTACACTTTGTCAGGTAGGTTCTATTACAACTTAAGCATTTAGGCTGACCTTGGACATCCAGTTCAGATGGGGGAGGCTGGCCTTAGAGCTACTCTTTCCAGCAAGTGAGTGACAGGGTTGGGACTTGAATCCAGGCCTGTCATTGCAAATTCTTGTACCCTAATACTACAGTACATCTGCTACTGGTGCAATGCAAACCAGAAAACCCTGCTTACTCTCTAGTCTTAAACATCATAGAGCTTAAAAATAAAAGTTACTGGTGCTGGGGCATGTAGCTCAATAGTAGACCACTTGCCTAGCATGCATTGAGGCCCTGGGATTGGTCATGAGAACCCAAACACCCTGCCCACCCCCAAAACAAACAGTTATGTCAAATAACCAATGTTTGTTTCCACTGTATTCCTTGGCTTTCCTTATTCTAGACGCATAAGAACTATAAAAGACCTACAGACCATAGAGCCCATGCACTGGCCCAGGGCAGAACTCAACTGATACTTTAGGCCAGCAGTTCTAACTTTTCTGCATATCAGAACCATCTGGGAAGTTTTTTAAAATTCCAGTGCCAAGGTCACAGCTCATATCTATTCAATCATCAGTTGTTTTGACCCTCCTCAGCAGTTTGTAGTACGCAGCTGAGCTTGAAAACCAGTGGTGTAGGCCACACTTTGATTGATTGATTGATGGGCAAGAAGGGCTAGAAGGTGGTTTTTTTTTCTTTTAGGCATATAAACCACTCTGAGTGAGCTACAAAGCCAAGAAACAACTTCTCAGATGCCCCAGCATCACTGACATCCCACGTTTCTCCTTTCTCTCACTCCTGATAAGCCCAATATCATGGAGCTGGGGGCTAGGAGAAAGATTAGCAGTGGGAGGGGAAGACGAAAAAAGATGTGACAGGTGCCATGCAGGGTAGAAAGTGTCCTTCTAGAAACTCCACTGTTGTTCTGAAATGCTGGCAAATAGACATGAGAGCCAACATCAGCCCCATGGGAAAGAGTCCTCCTAAATGGAAGATGTATATGCAGTTGATCATGGTTATTCACAGGAGTCATATCCCATAATGTCTTCTGAACACTGAATTATCAAATACTGAACCATTATTCCAAAGAAAACTCTCAGGGTTACGTTCCCACTAACCTCTCTGGTCACAGTATTTTTATCAACTGATTAATAAATGATGTTATTTTATGTGTGTTTCTTATTGATTTAGTACAGATTCATCAAAACTGAATTTTTGTCCAGTACTATAACTCACACTTGAATGAAGCTTATCTAACATATATTTTCTTTGTGTAAGACACATCAGACTTTTCATACTTAGGGACACTAAACAGAACTTTGAAAACCGTTTTAAACAGTGGAGATGCCAACAAAAATCATACACACACACAAAAGTATCACTAAAGACTGAGAAAAGGACACTTATTTGCAGTATCAGCACTGAAACCAGAGAGCAGGGCATCATCTAAGCTCTGATAGGTATCTTTCCTCAGCTGGGAATGTGTGTGTCTGGCAACTCAAATTTGTCACTCCCCCGTGCCTGTCTGTGGATGAAAGCGTCTAGGTATCGATCTGGGGTTACAAATAAATTTTTAGCAAGTAGGCAAGTTTGTAAGTTTGGATTCTGATAATGATAATCAACTATATTTATATGAGAATTAAGCATCACTGCACATAAAAAAGTTGGAAAATACCAAATTCCAATTTATTTACAAAAATAATTTAAATTTTGTTAAAAAGGAAAAGTAAAAAATAAAGATCTATATGAAACAGTCTAAGCTCTGAGCCTTTGCAGTTCTATGAAAATCTGGCTAAAAGTATATTTTAGCTGCAAAGTTCATCTATATATCCTTGAAAATAAGTCATTACTTTTCAGAGAATTAATTCTTCTGTTTTAGAGGAAAGTTTTCTGTTTTGTTTTCCCTAGTGTTGTTTCTTTCAATGCTGTGATGATAACTGCAGTTAATATCCACACATCTAGTTATCGGATTCAAAAGTGCTTTTCTGTGGATGAAAGTTTCATTTTATAAGCATTTAC